AAAAAAATTGGAAACATTGGAGTTCTTTTTTTTATTTTGTGAATAGCACGACTGGAGGTTCCCGTGAAACCGTAAGGAAGGATATTCACCTTGGGTGACCCCCCCCCCCCAAAGGGTATGAAGACATGAAGAACCAGCCAGTGACACAACACATGGATATGATTTGTGGTTTATCGACACAACATGGGCTAAAACTGAATAACATTTTCAACCACGGCACAGTGTTCATCATAAACCATGTGAAGTCAGGAGAGAAATCGGGCGTACACATATTCTGCTTGTGCTTCTTTCATAAATCATTTGTTGGAGACGGTTTGCATTGGAATTCAGCAAATGGATAAATTATGGTTGACAATGCGATTAAAATCAATGCAAAACTCCTAAAATGCCCTTAAATAATTTCTTCGTGCACATGAGCATACGGTTCATGTCTACTATCACAGAGGCTCGGGAACACGACACCCAAACTCTGAGAGGAAAAACATGGGAGTCTTCAGCAGACGAGCAAACCTCTCTTCTCCCTGTGATGAAGCTGCATGAAACATTTAAAGGCCTTTTTTCTAGGACTGTGTTTGACATTCTCTCTCCAAACAGAACCCTCAGAAAGAGAGAGAGAGAGGGAGAGGAGGGGGGGGAGACTTTTCTTTTGACTGCGCTCACCCCATACATAAGATTTGGATATAATGAAAGTGTTGGATGTGAAGCACTGGAACCTTTGTGTGTTTCTACGTGTGTGTGTGTGTGTGTGTGTGTGTGTGTGTGTGTGTGTGTGTGTGTGTGTGTGTGTGTGTGTGTGTGTGTGTTCCGAGAGAGGGAGGGAGATGAGAAAGAGATCCATTCTGAGAAAAGACAGCCAGACAAATAGAGTTTTTGAGTCTAAATCAAAACCTTCATTCTGTATTCTTATTGAACGGAGTAAAAACAAAAATGCCACTGCAGCATGAAGAAACATCAATAACAACTTCAATATTTCATTCACCCTTCAAACGTCTGGGACGGGTCTACTCTTTGTTCCCAGAGTAAGAACTAAACATGAAGAAGCAGTGTTGAGTTTTTCTGCACCTGGAAATTGCCTTGTCGTTGAAATGTGCTATACCAAAGGAATTGCCTCTCCTGGCCTTTAAACGGATATGCAGTAGCTTGATTTATTTTCCTCGAGAAAAAAAAATAGCCGGAGGTTTGACTGAGATTTCTCACAAATGGGAATAGCTTATATGCGCAGTCATGGGACAAATATCTATAGCAGGACAAGATAAAGTATTCTCCATGACAATCTGCTATAGGCATCCTCCTCCCAGAAACAATTCATCTCATTCCAGCTGAGATATGTGCAATAAAACACTTGCTTTTTAATGCCCTGCAGCCCATATATTGCAATCATTTGAATTGTCAATTAAATGATTTGACTCCATAAAGGTTTGCTAGTTAAGTTATTCAAACAGCATGGTGTTTGGGGATTTTGTCATTATTAACCACGTTGCATACTCTTCCCTCTGCAGCATGTGAAATGCAAAAAGCTCCAGCATCCCCTGTCGCCCTCCATCAGGGGCCACCACTGGTGGAGCATTTTGCTCAGATTATTTCCTGCACAGCTGCTGCCCTCTTGTGTAAAATGAATGAACCACAAGTAGAGTGATAAAAAAGAGGGAGGGAGAGAGAGAGAGAGACCTGCGGTCATTTTCATTCTCTTCAAGATCATCACTCCAGCACGTCCTTGAGCTACCTCACAGATCTGTTTACTCACAATAGCTGGGGCTAGTTTTCATCGTATAATGTCTGCTAAACGGCGTTGCCGAGTCTGCAGGAGGCAAAGAGGAGAGCTGTGAGAGATCAAGTGTGATGCTGTGGCTCACAATGCTAAGTAGCACTTACAGCACCAACACAAGCCTCATAGTTAGTGAACACTAACAATTAGAGGCAAAGATTTCTGATTGTAAATCAAGACTTACTGCATTGAAATCTACACCAGTAGCTAATCTTATTATTCCTATTTGTGAGCATCAAGCCACAAAACCAGTCAAACACAAGCGGATGACAAAGAACCGCTAATTAAGACTTTTAAGATGAATTCAATCGGTCATTTAACAAAAAAATATTGCACATCTCTCTACAAAGACATCTAGTTTAGTGTTCACACTATATTAAAAAGTTTTTTCCCAAAGTCGATTTACTAAAACATGATGTTATATCAAACACAAAGATACTGACAAACATCACCACTTGGGAGGGGAAGGTTTTGTTTCCCTCCCACCAGACATCCGGAATGATGTATTTAACTTTAACATAAGACAGGCCTGGTGCAGACATGACACTACAGAGGAAAGCAGATGCAAACATTTATGCCAGCTGACCAAACATCTTTCGCCTAAAATCCCTGGAAGGGAATTTGGGCACAGCGCCTGGAGAGTGAAAGAACACACTTCTGCTCTTCCGGCTTTGCATGATATTTTGGTGACTGATGCAATCAGGTTTCCAGCCGAGGTTAAGCCAAGGGTGTCATCATTCATCCCTGTCTGTTGACTGAGTCAATAATCAATAATGCAAGAAAAAATCGATTCAATCCTCAGGCAAAAAATCTACGACGCACACTGGCATCACAAATGTGGCTCTATTTCGAGATAACGTGTTTTTAACGTACGGCAGCATGCAATCCCTCGTTAGGACTTCGTCTCAAAAACCTCAACAAGTGAAAACCAAATCAAAATAGAAAAAAAATAAAGCTTGAATGAATGAATTGGCAAGTTAAAAAACAGAACAAACGAAGCCTCTCCCAACACAGCTCCATGTCAAACCAGTGAGCTGACTCGCAGTGTTTGGATCGAGGTCATAGGGTTCATCGCCACCAGCAGATCTGCAGGTTAAGGACTGATAACACTTCATAACTGAGCCCTCCAGATCCCAGTGTGCTTGCTGCTTTTGGTCCAACTTCCTCAGAGGAATCAACTGTGCTTAATGGAGTTTCTAATTGTCTGCCCTGAATGTGCCAGCTGCTCCCAGCTGAAGCTCCTGGAGCTTCTACAAACTACACGTGACAGGAGGGGACGGCAGAAGGTGTTGCACTACTCTACCGGTAAAATGACTTTGGAGGTATAACTGTGTTACGAGTGAACAACAGCAGCATTGCAGTGGATTGCGGAGACATGAATAGAGGACATGGGAGGCCTATTAGGCATTTTGCCAAAGTCTCTTGAGTGTGAGTGGAAATGCATGTGTGTGCGTGTGTTATCGACACGCTCTTGTGTACAGTGCATGTGTGGCAAAGTGAGTCACTTTCAAAAGTATAGTCGGACTTCCCTGGTGAGGGTAATATTACGCCTGGTTTTCAGCATGCATTAAAGTAGTTAAGAGTCCGAACAGTTGGGTAGAGTTTTAACTTATTATTAAACTGTATTTATACATATTTAACTCTCTTTTCAGAGGAATCCTCAGACAAATAGACAAATCCTAAATCATATAAGCTCATTTACTCCGACATTAAAAGTTTGCCAGCCCCTGCAGCCGGGGTACTTCGGGCATGGCGCTCTCCGTGGTGCTGAACTGTGCCGTTGGTCTGTGGGCCCTAAAACCCCAAAGTTGCCTCTCCAGGGGCCCCCAGAAGTTTCACGACTTGATGCTGAAACCCAGCAGCCATACCCCCCCCCCCCCCCCCTCCCTAAACACACACACACACACAACCAGGGACAGACGCGAGGGGCACAAGGAAAGGTTCCCCTCACTGCAGAAAGATGAAACTCACACTCGAGTGGTCAATTTACAACCCCCCCACCTCCCCTCTCCTTTCTGTCTTCTTTCCATCACCAAGAGAGAAAGAATGCAAAGCGAATGTAGCTGGTGAAGCTATGGTGCTAAACGTGTTGTCTCTCACCGTCGGGTATAGTGGTCGACTTCGATCGTTGTCCACAGAAACACTGCAGCATATGCGCTCCTTTCTGAAGGAATGGCCTCAGAATCCTCATTGATTTGGGTTGGTGGCAGCCTCCCTCAATCCAAACAATCGGACAGCGCTATGACAACGGCACGGCAGGGTCAGGCAGCATAGCGTAGCCGGCCGGCCAGCCTCTCGCTACAGGCTCGCGGTAGCCCTCCAAAAGCCGGAAGGGCACAGTCTGCAGGACAAATTACGCTAAAACCAGGCATCTTGAGTGCTCCCTCCCCT